GGGGGGGGTAATGAGGGTGCTGCGGGCGTTTTGGGGGTGTTGGGGGGGTGTATGGGGGTATTGGGGGCCGGTATGGGGGTGTATGGGGGTATTGGGGGCCGGTATGGGGGTGTTGGTGGTGTTATTAGGGCTTCTGGACCCCCCCTCGCCCCCCCCCAAAAAAAAATTGCAGGGTGCCGACGACCCTCGACTGGTAGGTGCCGACCAGCCAATCGGTCGGCGGGTCGGCAGCCGACCACTCAAGGGCCGCTGACTGTCGGGGGGTGCAACCTTGTTGTAAGATTTTAAAAAGAAATAGAGGAACTCTTCATCAATCAAAAGAGCATGTTGCATGCGTGCATTCTGCCGCCATTCATGACAGTGTGCGGGGTGCCGACGACCCCTGATCGGTAGGCGGGTCGGCAGCCGACCAGTCAAGGGTCACCAACCGTGGGGGGGTGCAACCCTGTTGTAAGATTTAAAAAAAAAAAAAGAGGAATTCTTCATCAATCAAAAGAGCATGTTGCGTGAGTGCATTCTGCCGCCCTTCATGACAGTGTGCAGTATGAGGTAGGTTTCAGTTTTCTGCAAATTGCACGTTTCGTATGCACCATAGTAATCCTCCCTCCCTCCCCAGCGCGCTACCCCCCCCCTTCCTCCCCCCCCGAATTGATGATTGACCCCCTCAAGACATCAATGGCTCTAAGGTTTGTTCAGTGAGAGTTAACGTGTTGTTGATCTTCATTGTGATTGCCCCTTATGACCTCTACCAGGTCCTCCATCCTACCAACCCCACACTTCCATGCTGTAGCCGTCTAGATCACCTGCAGTAAGCACAGGGAAACCCCTGAGAAGTGAGATACATCCCCTTCAGCTCATGAGAAGTCCACAAACTGGAAGCTCCTGGCGACTTTCTACCTCCGGCGCTTTAACTTGGTTCAATCGTGCAATAAACCTCGCGATATCAAACCAACTCGAACATGCAAGATGAGAACATTCACATGGGAGTGCACACCACACCGGATAGATAACACATGGATCAGCGCCAGATATGTTTCCACTCAAAAATATAATATTATACAATTGGAGAGTTCAAGTGTCCAGCGGCAACTCTTCCGACCACACTACTCTTCACGGAT